TTTTTGTCAAGACAAAGTCTTAGTATGTCGCCCTCGGTAGAGTGCCATAGCATCACAGCTCACAGCAACCTCAAACTCTTGGGTTTACATGATTCTCTTGCCTCGGCCTCCCAAGTAGCTGGGACTACAGATGTAGCCACAATGCCCGAGTGTTTTCTTGTTGCAGTTGTCATTGTTGTAGAGGTGGCCTGGGTTGGGTTCAAAACCGCCAGCCTCGGTGCATGTGGCTAGACCCATAACCACTGTGCTACGGGCACCAAGCTGAAATGTGTCTGTGTTTTAACACGCTTTTATTTCTACTATAGAAAAAATATGAAACTGCTCGTGTCTGACTAAAACCACATGTGGCCAGTGCTCACAGGAAGGGTTTTATTCAATAAACTGATGAATAGCTTATAGCACCACCACGCACTAATGGCTAGGAAAGGATTGAAGAAAGAACTTGAATTTCACAAGTGCTTATGTATCTGTGATGGTTAACTTTGTGTCAGTTTGCCTGAGCCATGAGGTACCTAGATGTTTAAGTTAATAACAGTTTTTCATTGATACAGGCCATAGTTTTAAATTTTAGACAGCAGGAATTGTGGATGTCCTATGTCTTCTAAAGAACATGACAGTGTAACTATTTGGTTACTGGTTAAATTTTAGATCATCATAATAGTAATCTTCACTACCAACTACAGATTAGACTTTCACTTGGGCTTCAATCTTAATTGACTAAGGCTTAGTCTTAGAGTTACTTACTGAACAGAGACAATGGTTAGCTCTTAATGTAAGAAAGAATTGTTATCTCATATGTGAATGGTATTTATTTGCACTCGAATACCTAACTGAGTTCTGTTCAGGGCTGGAAGAATTGGTCAGCACCGAGAGTGCAGTGGCCAGCCTAGCTCCCAAGCACAAAATCAAGATGCCGTGTTAATTAGGGTTCTCCAGAGAAACAGAACAGTGGAACACGCACACACATACGGAAAGTGTACAATGGAGAGATAATGGGAAATGTCTATTATAAAAATTGGCTCATGTGATTCTGAAGTCTGGCAAGTCCAGAATCTACAGAGCCAATGTCCCAGTTCATGTCCAGAGGTTGCCAGGTTGCCATAAGCCAGGAAGACCTTACGGTCCAGTTTGAAGGTTCTGAGGAAGGAGAATTCCCTAGTATTGGGGGAGATCAGAACAAGGCCCACCTGTATGTTGCTTAGATCAGTTTTATTCAGTTTGACAGTTTATTTATTTGTTTGTTTTGAGACAGAGTCTTGCTCTGTTTCTGTAGGTGGAGTGCAGTAGGCCTGGATAGAGTGCAGTGGCATCATCACAGCTCACTGCAGCCTCAGACTCCTGGCCTCTAGCAATCCTCCTGCCTCAGCCTCCGGGGTAACTGAGACTATAGTAGATATGTGACAGCATACTTGGCTAATTTTCCTTTGTTATATTTTTATTTTTGTTTTTTTTACTAGAGAACAGGGGCTTGCCGTTACTCAGACTGATCTCAAACTCCTGGCCTCAAGCAGTCCTCCTGCCTTGGCCTCTCAGAGTGCTAGGATTACAGGCATGAGCCACTGCACCTGGCCTCATGTACTGAATTAAATGTGACTCGCATCCAAAAACACCCTGACGGAAATACCTAAAATAATGTGTGGCCAATATCAGGCACTCCATGGCCTAGCCAAATTTACGTGTCGAATGAACCATCACAACACAAAAGTAGATGTACTTGGGAAATTAGAAAGCTTAGTTCTTCGGTTTGTATGTTCCTATAGTGGAAATGAGATAGGTACAAAGACCGCGAGGCCGGGAACGTGTTCAGTGTAGGAGGTGAGATCTCTGTTAAATCCCTCTGTAGGTTGAAAATGCTACGTGAGCCTTTTCTTTGAATTTGATCCATTTGTTTCTTTCCTTTTCCACTTACCCACTTTTTTTTAGCCTTCATAGGATGCATATTAGTACAGCTGTCAACTGTGATTGAAAACTTCTGATTTCCCGGGAAGTCTGCTCCCGGGACTAAGTTTTTTGAGGGAGAACCGGTCAAGTCTGAAATCACAGCAGTGATTGGGATATATCTGCATGTCAGTGGGAACGGGGTGTGTTTGTAAGAGGCCGACTCCAGGATGTATTATTCTGTATTATTTTATGCAGAGAGCGGCCACCGACGTCCACAAACATGAATGACATTTTACTATCTCTGCAGGACGCAGTGACAGCAGTGCAGCTAAGCGATGCCAGCGTCCCCCTGTGCTTCTCTCTGGTGCTCTGTCGGAGGGCTCTTGGTGAAAATAACTGTGCTCTCAGAGTAGAGCGCCAGTGAATGCCGTCTTTGATTAAAATAGCATTTGGCAACAGCTTTGTGGAGCAGGATAGCTTTGTTGAAGGATCTGGGTCATGTTAACAATTTGGGAATTTTCTTCATCCTAATTTTTTTTCTTTTATGCCAAACGTGACCCTGAAGCAATTCTTTAATTCCCGCCTTCTCGTGGAGCTTTAACGGTGACATTGCTTGGCTCTCGGCTGACCTACAATTCTTGGGTTTTATTAGCCTTCAACAAAGCATCTGGATTTCCTGCGTTGTCCCTGAGGGTTGCATTTCTCCTAGAGATGGAGCTGCCAGCTCTGAATAATCACTTTAATATGTGGGTGTGATTGCTGCTTGGTCAGTTATGACTGGGGCACAGAACCCCCAGTGTTACGCTATCACAGATGGCCACACCTAAATGCTCCCAACAAGAAAATAAATGGCGCTAAGCTGGCAAGAGTGAGATTGGCAATTTTTGCCTACAGTGGTGGGTCCAAGGATCCAAATTGCAAGCATAAACCAAACATCCCATGCCTTTCTACTCAAACAGTGCTTTTCTAAATAAAAAAAGAAAAGAAAGGAAAATGACTTGCTGTGACTATGAAGAAGCAGGAACTGTGGATGTGTGTTTCCTGAGCTTGAACACCAGAACCCGGTAGTTTTCTGACTGTTGACCCGTTTCCTTCTGTGCTCTGAGGGTCACAGCCAGCGGCAGATGTCCTAGTCTGAGCCTGAGGAACAAGGGGAGCCGCTCCCCTGTCTTTACTCCAGCAGATACAAAGCCGAAGGCATTGGCCTGAGATTAAATGGGTCTTCTTCAGAGGTGGTTACTGCCTAGCTGTGGAGAGAGAGGAAAGCCAGAGAGATGCCCCAGGGAACTGAAAGAGGAACTCGTCAAGGCTGAGGTACCAGATAGCTAATCTACTCCCCTTGTCAAGATAGAACACAGGTCAGTCCAACACTGACCATTTCAAAAACTGAAATATCAGTTAAAGGGTGGTTTGTTTTCATTTCTGATGAGAACATCGATAAGAAAAGTTTCATCAAGGATGAAGACATCTGTAC